GTGTTTAGTCTGAAATTCGAATTCTTGTACTTTAATTTATTGATTTCAAAATGATGAAACCCAAAAACTATGTATGTATGCTTTTCATTGCCATCCAGTCCGTTTCAATCAATTAACTTTCACTGAGTTGGCTCGCCACAAAAGAGTTTTTTAATTGTTATTTTTTGCATATTGTCTTTTTGCAGCATCACCGCACCGTCTACTGCTTAATACAATACGCGCACTTCAACTACAGCGTATTCAAACAACTTGATTCCAGGTTCTTATCCCCACTTATCGCTTATGTTAAATACAAATAATATCTACTTTTTTTCTATGCAGCACCCAAATAAGAAATAATGCGACCTATTCTGATACCTTTACCTGTAAACCTGCGATCTTTTCTACGGAATGTTTTATCAGTTTCTCCAACAGGTTCTAGACCGTTGACAGACTAAGTTACGTGATTTATTGTTGGTAAGCCACAAACATTAAAACAATGCATGCCACAATACCGATCATCAAGTTATCAAATACGGTAATAACACGTGTATAGTCCTAGTATATACACCTGCAAACTTGATCTTTAGTTTTAGGATGCGATTTCAAAAGCAATAAAATCAATGTTCCGCCAATCGCCCTACATTATAGAACATGGCTTGATGTGACGTCTTGTTGCCCCTAAAGAGTTAATCGATGGGTTTGAGAAAGGACAAAAACAGAAATCGGCACTCTTTCCTGTCCTGTTTGAAGGAGATGCGAGTTGGCAGCACTGAAAAAGCTTGAAGATTAATGGTGTAAAGGGGGGCTCTGACAGCTTTTCCGCTGCTTGCAGTCCTCCTGGGTGGGCCGATTGGTCTTGGATGTCACTTTTGCTACTTAATCTTGTGTATCTGAAACAGTCTGACGTGTTTGGCGAGCCCGGACTGTCCAGCTCTGTATAGACATCAACAGGAGAGTCAGATAAAAGGAAACGGCGCTGGATTATTCCCCCCCCCCCTCCTTTTCCTTTCTTTTTTAAGTATCTGAAGCACTTTTCAACACAATGATTACCGAGGCCCCGAAACTTAATAATATTCTCGAAGACCCGAATTTCTTCACAATACAATTCGAAGTAAATAGGAGAACTGTCTAAAAACCATTGATGCTTCAAAGGCACTTACAAAGACAATTCTACTACTATTAATAATAAATAATAATTTATCGTAAAATTATCTATTTTGTTATAAACCATCTCAAACACTTCCCAAACTTGCATAATTTCTGCAATTGCAACATGACTTAATTGACTTTTTGCACCTTTTCGTTTCATTTGTCACAGCAGCCTTAATGTTTAATAAGTGAGCATCGCTTTTCCTGGAATTGAAGACTTGTAGTTCTATATATTTATATCATGGTCACTGTGTCCTTTTCATTTTAATAACCTCAATGGAATACTTGATCTATTTTACAGATATATTTTAGCTAACAGTCATTTTTAGTTGGTTCTGACATTATCCTGTTACTAACCGGAATCTAGAAAATTATTAAAATACGACTCCTGCCAGTCTGCACGAGTTCTTCACACTCAGTGTTAAAAGCTCTCATCATTTGCTTCTCCCCTTTCAGCGTTCTCTCGTCAATGTATGAATGGACATGGCGACTGATCAAAACCTCAAAAGCATTTTACTTATTTTATGGAATAGAGGGATTCCCAGACAGATTACCGTTTTTAAATGAGCAGCTGTTCGCCTTCTGCTGGTTATGTTTGTCTGGCAAATGGGCTCTGTCTGTTTGGGTAAATCCTGATACGGAGCTCAACTCCAAGTGGCAGGATATGGCTTAACTGTTCCTATACAAACTCAGTAACCAAACCTAACGTTTTGCAGGGGCTAGGTGTGAATATCTAAAGAGATTGTCTCTGAAAATATACAGTACATGGGGGGTACATGGGGAAGATTTCTCTGCCTCTGCCTTTTGAAAAAATCTTCAAGTTAATGGAAAAGAAGTACTGGAATATTGCATCACTCTGATCAAGCCTGATCCACTAGAAACATTTTAAAATACAATCTATGAAGGAAATGCGAAATTCCTTTCTGGGGAACCGTTACACATGTTATAGTTAAGTTATACAGATATTTTTTTCTTTCCATTTGAATATTATCATTTTTATATGATAAAACAATGGATGTGCTATAAGGCTAATCATGAGCTTTTCTATTGAATTCCTTTTTTACTTTCATATATTTCATTCTCTGAAATCCATCAATGATATCAAGTACAGATTCTAAATTTATTTACTGATGTATTTAGTACAGCACCATTTATGCACCTCAATATGGCATTTATTACAGAGTTTAAAACTAAATGTGTATTCAATGTTTATTTCCTTGGCTGTTTTGTAAATAACCTTAAGTAAATGTAATATAAAAAACCAAAATTTGCAAAATAATCCTAATTAATGTAAAGAGCTATAATGCCACAGACAGAAAACATGCCATTGAGCATGAGTTAGTATCCATCGCCACTCCATGAATATAATTAAACCATTTATGATCATTTGTAAGTCCCAAGGTCTCACCATACCTACTGACTATATCAACACATTGTTCAGAGAGACTTTTCATTCCTTTGACAGCAAGGCCCTGAAGCCCTGTACTTCACATCTATTGAACCTTTAGAGAAGATGATTCATTGGTAACATCTTGGGTGAAAATCTTCCACCTTTTGTAGTTGTTGCCACAGGCCTCTGTGTAAGTACAGTATATTATATTTCCTTGGTTCATTGCCAGTCTCTGTAGTTACAGTACATATTGTTGACAGGCCAATTGTATATTGTCACATGTTCAAGGTCATTGTTGTGGTGATAGAAAAAGTCAAAGGATGAACTGTGATACTGCTGGGTTTTGTATTGTATCACTAAACCCATTCTGAGGTATTGAATGTATTGTACTCATACTGAATTTTACTTTAAAATGTTGTTGTAAAGTGCATTTGAGATGACCTGATTTGCCCAGACTATTGAGCTACTCATTACTGTTCATGCACTATTATGGCAAACTGGCATTTCACCTCCCTCTGTCTGCAGTATAAAATTGCAATGATTTCATCAACCGTGCTTTTGTAATAATGCTTATACAGAAACAAATTCCCCATGTCTGAGGCACCATTGATGAGATATCACTTTCAGTGCAGTATTTGTAAAAAACATCATACACTCTGCTGACTATGAGTCAGCTTACTTAGTCTGTATAGCTGACTTATTTGAGTAGACTGCTATGCTATCATAAACTTGGCTTTCTGTGTAAAAGGATTTGTCTCCTTGTGGAAATAATTGGGCATATCCAGTTCTAAGAGTTAAGTTAAAATATTCAAATTAAATTTACATAAGCAAAAAAAAAACAGTACCTGGATTATTTAAAATTGTGTATAAAGTTTTCATTAAGAGACAATTAAATAGTTAATAAAATCTTGTAGTGTAATTTATGTGTTGTTTTGCAATTCGTATTGTGAAGGATGTATTTACAATATAATATGGTAAGCATCAAAAGATCCATATGACTTTTTCCTGGAACAAGATAACAAAAATACTGACTTTTATTAAAACAGGCATGACAAAGGTGAATTCATTATGCTGATTTACAGTACACCAGTCAACAAAATAATTGAAGGTCACAGTCCAGTGACCACTAAAGAAAACAATGTAACTTAAGAAAGCTTAAAAACAAGAGGAGGCCATTTAGGCCATCTTGATTGCTGGTTCCTAAATAGTCTGTGGTTATCATTAAATTCTTTCTTGATCTTTCTGAATCAATTTGAGCTGTACAGCCTTGTGGAAGTCTGTCATATTTCCTTCATAGAGCCTGGAAAAACTTGTGCCTGTTCACCAGCCTCATCCTTAGATGACATGTCTTCAAAGCTCATCCCATTAATGTTCAATGGGCTTGATTCTGGATAATAGAACAACCATAGCATAACTGTTACATTAACATCTCGCAAGTAGTATGTTGTTTCATCCTGTATGTCTGACACCTGATGTCCATCAGAGTGGATTTCACAAAACCTTGATTTATTGCTACAGAAAACGTGGCTCCACTGCAGGTGTGTTCACCAGCAGTGACTTATTCCAGGCTCCAACATACTAGTTTTGACATTCAACAAGTGTAGCACTGACATAATCAATGTTACACCAAGAACTTTATCAATATCACAGTTCTATATACATTTATTTTGTTAAAACTTACATGTATAGAGTGAAACCTACATGCATAGAGTTTCTTTTGGTACTCATTATGTTGATAAGATTACATATAAATTACTATATGTCCCTAGTTAATGTTCATTGCATATTAACTGTTTTGATTCAGTTCATAGTAACGCAACAGATCAATTCATATTAGTAGATTAATGTATGCAAGTGTGTGTACATACTGTATCTTATAACCAATACAACAGACTTATGAAAATAAACTAGATGTATTCAGACATTGTTAATGTGAAAAAAAACACTTAAAAAAAGGTACCAGCCATTAAAAGTGGAGATTTCAGAAACTGAGGCAAAGTTACATAGAACTATTTGTCTGCCTTATGGCTCTTGGATCCTGGGTTTGATTCTGCGTTACCTGTGTGAAGTATGCATGTTGTCCATGGAGGTATTCCCTTCAGTTTCCTATTAAAAACTAACTGGTGTCTTTAAATCGTCCCTATAATGTGTATGTGTGTGTCGTACAATGGCCACCGACTATACCATCCAGTGCATAGTCCCTCCATATGCAGCTGGGATCGGCTCTGAGTTTTGGTGACCCTTACCACAATAAGAGGCTTTCTAATAATGCATTGGTTTTCTTTCCCTTATTGTGCTGTTCTTTATTCTTCCCTCAGACAGTATTCACTGTTTGATATCTATTTAAAAAATGTTTACTACTGTTCCCGTGATAGTGTTTTTTTCAAAAATATTTTTATTTACTGTATTTGTCATTTAAACATGAATTATCTTCAGTAACACAAGAAAATGCTTGCTCACCAGTTTAAAAGTTGGAATAGTTTTTGGTCTTGATTAACGCCCTCCTGACAACAAAACCCCTCTGCAATTTCTCCCTTCCAAATTTATCAGTGGTTACACTGCAAAGGAAAAATACAGTGAAATTATGTGAAACCACTGCAAATATGATACTGTATTATAACAATTGTAAACATACAAACACTTCAGTAGCAAGTGACATTATATTTTTTTAAGTGGTGGTGTCAAACACTCCACTGTAACTGAAAGACATACAGTGCCTTCAGAAAGTATTCACCCCCCATGGATTTAATGCATTTTGTTATTCGTTAAGTTACAAACTGAAATAAAGAATTTATATGGGATTTGTCACTAATCTACACAAAATATTGTGTACTGTCAAACAAAAGTTCTGGATTTTTTTCATGTAATTTAAAGAAAAACATTGAAATGTCTTGATTTAATAAATATTCACACCCTTTGCTATCTCACTCCAAATTAAGCCCAGGAACATCTAATTTACTTGAGTTTATTCTAAAACTTTAATGGAGTCCCCCTGTGGTCAGTTTAATTGGTTGACACGATTTCAGAAGCACAATATCTGTATATACAAGGTCCCTCAGTTGACAGTGCTTGTCAGGGTAAAATCTCTCCCATGAAGACCAAGGAGCTTCTCCGAGATAGAGCTCTGAGGAGGCAAGGAATTAGAGGGGGTATAAAAACATGTCTTGAAAACAGCAGTCAGGTCCATCATAAAGAAATCCACCCAGACTCTTCCTAAACAACTGGGCAAGAAGGGCCCTGGTCAGAGGAGTGATCAAGAAATCTAATGACCACCCTGATTACACTACAGAGTTCCATGGCTGAGATCAGAGAGCCAGAGAGCTCCTATGGGAAAGAGGCTTGGCAGAAGCCAATAGCATGCCTGGAGTTTGCAAGCAGGCACGTGGCAGACCCTGAGACCACATGGTAAACAATTCTTTGGTCTGATTAAACAAAAATTGATCTTTTTGGCCTGAATGCAAAGTGCTGTGCCTGGCACATACTGAACACAGCTCATAACCCATGCGACATGATATGTACAGTACCATGAAGAATGGAAGTGGTAGCATCATTTTATGGGAATTATTCTCAACAGCAGGGACTGGGGCACTTGTCAGAATAGAGGGAACAATGAATGGAGCCAAATATGGACAAATCCTTAAGGAAAACTTGCTTCAATCATCAAAATAACTTAGACTGGGGTGAAGATTCACATTCCAACTGAACAAGGACCACAACAATACAGCCAAAGTGAGGCCAGAGTAGCTTCAGAACATAAAGCTAAATGTCCTTGAGTGGTCCAGCTAAAGCCCAGACCTGAATCCTGCTGAGAATCTATCAAAGGACTTGGAGACTGCGATTCACTAATGCTCCCCATGCAATCAGACAGCTTGAATAGATCTGCAAGGAACAGTGGATGAAAATCCCCAAATCCAGATGTGAAAAATTGATTCAGACATACCCAAAAAGACTTAAAGTTGTAACTTCTTCTACGAAGTATTAACCTAGGAGAGTGAAATAGTTCAGTAAACAAGATATTTCAGTTTTTTCATTTCCACTTTTGAAATTGATGTTCTATAAATCAAGGAGAAAAACATTTTAATGCATTAAAAATTCTGATTGTAACACGATAATAATAATTAATAATTGCTTACACTTATATAGCACTTTCCTGAACACTCCACTCAAAGCGCTTTACAGGTAATGGGGACTCCCCTCCACCACAACCACAACCAATGTGCAGCATCCACCTGGATGATGCAATGGCAGCCATAGTGCGCCAGAACGCTCACCACACATTAGCTATCAGTGGGGAGGAGAGCAGAGCAATGAAGCCAATTCATAGATGGGGATTATTAGGAGGCGATGATTGGTAAGGGCCAATGGGAAATTTGGCCAGGATTCCGGGGTTACACCCCTACTCTTTTTGAGAGTAATTGTTCAGAGTGGCGTATACTTTCTAAAGGCACTATACAGTATGTTTCAAATATGATCCAATATGATCTTAGGATGCACAGGGCTAGTCCAAAAGTGCAAGTTCTGAGGAGGAGCAGGAAAGCCTTCATAAATTATACATTTCTTATTTTAACAGGTAGCTGATTACATCAACAGTGAACAAAGGAGGAGAATGAGAGGATGTTAGAACTTGGTACTAGAAATCATGAGCAGAGAGGATGAGAAAGAATATTGGGGTATTAATGGTGCTACCGCACAGTAATCTAATATGGTATATATTGTATTGAAGCAACTAAATATGGCTGCTTTGTTCTGTGCTTGATTATGTGGGTTACGTCACAAGACTTGGGCATCAAGCAGATAATCACAGAGCTTGACTATGCACTGACCCTTTGTCACTGCTTAATGAACTGACCTTTTAGAGGCATCCTTAGTATACATCCAAAAAATTACATCTGGCTGTTTGGAGTCAACTAATTTAAGCCTTGATAACTTGTAACATGAAATAACGGCTTGCACCCTAATAAATGTTTTTACTTCTTTTCATGGAATCTCTTTGGCTCTAACCTATTTTTATAAATATTGTTTTGAACCTGATATCATAACTTTTATTGCCTGAATGGCAACCAAACCTGGGCACTATTTCTTTCACTTTACTTTCGACCACGTAGCCGGCAACAGACTGTCAACAACTAAGGATTTTTAATCAGGATAATATCATTTATAGACGGAATGCAAAAGCTGTCATATTTGAAAGCATTTGTGTTTTTTCTAAAATCAGCTCACATAGTGTCATCATTGTGACTCTTTTCCACTCCTCTTGTAAACAGTTTGTATTGAATGGTACAGTATGTCTACCTACAAATCTTGGCACACGATCTTCATAGTGTAGGTTTAATTGGTCTCAAAGTTTTAAATAAAGCATAAAGGAGATGTTTATGATCGACCTTTTCCTGTTATTCACTTTTCAGTAGTTGCGTCTCTTAAAGGTCAAATAGCTTTGCAATGGAAAAAACAGTAAATAAGACTTGTGCACATTTTCATGTATGTTTTTATACCACGAAAAAAAAAACATTGTTCAAAGTGTCAGTTGTGATTTTCTAAATCTGAAAATGTGCATGTTGAACCCATCATTACTCAAACAATTTGATCTTTTCTTCCATTTATGCACTGGCCTTTCTGGACGCAATACAAACCAGAGCAGAAGTGATACAAAGTGTTCCACTGACTTGTCAGCGAATGTGACTTTGTTTTTTAAACTGATTCTATTGCAGGTTGTTTCTAATCCTTCAAAATTGCAACTTAACCTCAATATTATGAGAATGCAGCACATTATGTGATACTGTATGTACTGTATGTTATTAATTAAATTATCTTTTCAGTGTACTGTATGTGATGGACTGTTAAGGTTTTGTCTTAGCTTTTCTGTCACTTGAATAATAACATCACATTATTATTTTCTAAAACCACTTACTCAATTCAAGGATACAGTGATTTACAGATTTACTAATTTACAGAAGCCAATTAACCTACATGGCCAGAGCCTACAAAGCCCCATGTCCAGAATTGAACCTAGGGTCCCAACACTGCAAAATAGCAATGGTAACCACTTCACTGCCATCAGTCTCTTGGGTTATCGTCAATACTTACTGAGTCTTAAACTTGTGGCTTTTTCATAACCGAACACAAGTAAAAATTAAAGGAAAATACCTATGATCGAATTTTTTCCATCCCTTTTAATACCAGACAGGAATCCATCACAGGACACACATAAATATGCACACACTTACATGAGGATCAGTTTTCCCAGAATTAAGCAACCAGTGTATCTTGGGACTGTGGGAGGACACTGGAGCAGAACAGACAGTAATGTTAACAACTGTGCAACCCTGCCACCTATCATGGAAATGACTTAAAGAGATATTTCCAAATAGTTTAAAATCCATTTTACCAGAACTATAAATGGCACAGTCATTCAATTACTGAACAAGATCAAAATGCACTCAGATGGAAAGAGGCTTCCTCTCAATACAGTGACAAAAAAGAACTGCAAAAACACACAATATTTTATTAAGAATTAGCATAAGTGGTCAGGATAGTCACTGTGTAATGAAAACATCTGCACTTTTTCACCTTACTTTTTATATACTTTAGCCCAAACATTTCTTAATTGTTGATGAAAGATTATTTGTTTTTGCTGTGCAGTTTTGCTGAATGTTTTCCTTTCTCCACAATGCAGACTGTGCCTGTTCAATTGTATTTTTTATTTAAAAAGAGACCATGAACACGACCAAATAAAACTGTCCACACCATCTGCAGGACACCATTTATCTATTTTTTTTACAGTACATACTATAGCACACATGAATTAGAGATAGTGATATTAACATGAAAACTAAAGGTTTAACATTTAAATCCCAGTTACCTGATAAATAATTATTAATGGTTTGTAGTCCATTATAAGCAGCAATTGAAATTTTGATATCCAAAATTTTACTTTTGTTTCTAACTGACAGGCACTGTACAATATATGGGAAACTGTTAAAGGTTTGAAATTGTTCACCCAGAGCTGGGACATCAAAAGCCATTGAATATGACTACACAGAATCCGTCTGGTTGATATGTTCCTTCATTATAAGTAGGCATATTGATACTCACAGACAGGAGTACCACCCATTGAAAGAAAATAATACAAGAAGACCATATATGGTATTATTTTGAGTTTTAGAATGGTTTTAATGGTTTAATCTCATAATTGAAATTCCCACATTTCAATTAGAAGAATTCTAGATAATATACAGTATGTACTTACGTTAATAACTGATGAATAGATGGTACACATAAGTGATAATTGTTAATATTGGGATAAGTGGTGTACCTCAGGGGTCTGCATTAGAACCACTGTTCCTAATTTTAACACTGATCTACATTCTGGTATAGTTAGCAAACTAGTCAGAATAACTGATTATATCAAAATATGAGGATTGGTGAACACTGCGGAAACTACAAGAGAAATAAGTCTTAGACCAAATTCAGGACTGAGCAAAAACATGATAGCTGATATTGAATGTACTATAGGTAAGTGCAAGGTGTTGCATGCAGGTAGCAGAAAATAAAGTATACAATGGAAAACACTGAAGCTGAATACTTATTTATTTGAAACATGATTTATGTCTTCCAATCAAAGTGAAGCAATATAAAAGAAAAAGATAAGATAATTTACAGATTTTAATCAAAGGATGTTATTTTAAACAATAAAATGGAATGTGAAGCACAGTGATCTCATTTCAAATACTGAGTACAATTTGGTCACTGCGTTGCAGAAAAAAATATTGCTATTTTGGAATCAGTCCATAAAACAGTAACTAGTTAAATTCTTGGCCTTAAACAATGTCAGTGATGACAGCAACAGAATCATTTTTTAGATTACTTTGAGCCCCTGACAAAATTAACCTAGTGGAATTTGCCATAATTAACAATATGACAAGTGGAAATGTAATAAAGTTCAGTGTAAATAAATACATTTAATTATTTATATGTAAACAATAAAAAAGTAATTATACACAATATATGTACTATATTTATATATCCAGTTGGATGAGGATAGCTGAAGAATGTAACTCTTAGGGAGGCCATCATCCACCAGTAGATTAAAATTTATATACAGTATATACAGTATGCAACCTACTCACTTTGAAGCACACAGGGCTCAGATTCACAAAATACATCCTTCACATGGTAGAGTAATGAGAGGAGGTGCTTAACTCCCTTCCTCATGGGGTCCAGGGATGGAAACCTGCTGGGAACAATTTAAAACAGCTTATCAAAACAATCCTGCAAGTGTTTGAACTTTGGGGAGAAACTGAAATACATGGAACAAACTCTAACGTACACAGGAAGATCATGCAGACTCCACACAGATGGCCAACCAGGTCTGGAATCAAATCAGGGCCTTATACAGTATATACGTACAGTATATATATATATTTGAATGTACATATAAATATGTTGTAATTAATATATTAAAAACTATTTTTTTGCTTCGTTGACCTAGAATCAGTGTTTGCAAAGAATGCAATGACTGATGAATTTGTGTCATGGAACAGTGACTGCAACTGCTGAGTGGTGAGATTCCAGAAAGAAAGAGAAAGAGTGAAAATTTGTCCCAATTCTTCCCATCTTTCAGCTGATTTGAATATTCAGCTAGTTTAAAGATGATTTAGCATTACATTTTAAACATTCTAAAGCAAAATCAGTATATTCTTGTCTGAATACAAGTTCAGTGTATTTTTTAACACAGAAAACAGAAGACATTTTCATGCAAAGGATTGTGGGTGTCTAGAATAAATAACTGAGGTACACTGTTGAATCATGTTGCTTGGGATCCCTTAACAAAAGGCTGTATGAGGCCTTTGGATCTATAAGTTACTGGCAAGAAAACAAGAAAGATGGGCCGTATTGATTCCTTTTATTTGTATCCTTCCTCTATTCATATGTTCTTGTTTTTTTTCTTCAATCCGATTAGCTTAGAACTTAATTGAACCTCTCAAGATGAATCTCAATTACACATTCATAAACATAAATTTACTGTGGTCACATAACAATGGATTTAAACCTGTGTGGTTTTCTTTAAAAAATATTTGCTTCAGCCACAAATATTCACTTGTAAAAGAAGATGAATAATTGGTTTCTAGGTAGGTGTTCATCCCTTCCAGAAAAGCAGAATTAGTCCAGAACAGATGAATGGTATTGGCTGTGAACATACTGTTTTTTCTTTCATAAAGCAATTGTAACAGTGAAACCAATTATTCAGTTTAGACTAAACAAAATGAGAGGAGTCAGATTACTGGAAACAAAAGATACATAGCAAATGAAATTTGATGTTGGTAATTATAAATAAAGGTAAGAAATACATAGTTATAATAACAATACTTAATATAACACAATTATAACCATAGGAGTTTGGAAAAGGACCTAGTGCTGTTATTATTTTATTGCTGTCAGCATTTAGGCTACTCAATGAAGCAATAAAAAACAAATAGTTTGCTTGGCTACACAGAAAAGTGTTGAATACAAGTCAAGAGAGGTTATGTTTAATCTGTACAATTAATTAGTTATATCACATTTCTCAAATACTGCATACATTTCTTAAAAAAGGGCTCAAGAACCATTAGAGAAAGTCCAGTAAACTGCAACAAGACTCATTTAAAAGTTTAAGGAAAAAGTAAGATAAAGGACCTTAATCTTCTCAGTCTCAGTACAAGGTCTTCAGAATTTCAATATCTGACTTCTAATGATTTCTAATTTCGAATGATAAGGCTGAGTAATGAAAAGCTTTCATTTTCATTTCTGAAAACATAAGGAGAGAGAAACAATATGAAAGGCATTGAGAAACTTAAAAATAAATGGAAAGGACAATTATGAATTGTTTTGTTAATAATGGCTCTGAGATTAAATACACATCTGTAAGGTCTCTCAGTCAGGTAGTGAATTTCAAGCAAAGATTCAACCATGAACACCAAGAAACTTTCAAAACAACACATGGGAAAAGGCATAAAACCTTTTAAAGACCCTTAAAATCTCTTGGAGCATGGTGAAGTCAATCAATAAGACATTGAATGCATCCAGGAACTGCATAAACTAAGCAGCCGGGCAAGGAGGAAAGTGGACTGTATACTTATGCAAATAACAGATTTCAATTTTGGCCCTTTAATTTTTGTTGACATTTACTGAAATGTATCTAACCCTCAGAAGCTGTCAGTTTAATCATTCACGTTTTGAAAAACATATTCATCTTAAAATACATATATGCAGCATTTTAGAATTTCACAAAATTCTGTAGGTAGCTTTTACAAGTGTGAAAATACAATTAAAATATGAATTAATAAATCCAATAAGCAGTTAGTAAAGAGTTGTTCTTGATAGACATTTGTTTTTTATTGAGAAACAAAAATGTCATTAGTCTTTGTGTGACCTTCATACATAACAAAAATAAAATCCTATGGGAGACACAGGTACAGTACATAGTAAAGTGCCTATGAAATGCTTTGGATGTGTCCCTGTATTTTATTGTAGCTCACATCTCTTCTAGCTCTCAAAGTATTGAAACAACAGAGGGGTGTTACCATGCACAGGAAATGTCATAAACCATCAGCATATTTATTGTTAATTTCCTCGTAGTGCCCAAAAATGGCAGGACAGTATTGACTTGCTCAGAAGTATCTGACCTTATATCAAAATTAATTCAGCATGTTGAGTTCTTGATGTTTTTGTTATGTGTTTATTTTTAATTCCAGGACCCCTAAAGTACTTCCTTATGGTACAGTACTGACTCTGCTTAAAGAATTCCAAGAGGGTGACCCCTCACTGTGAGTGTCTGTAAGTGTAAAACTGGCCCTGATGATAGAAACAGGATCATTAGTACCAGCTGTACTTTAGAAAAACATCTGTTGTGCTGCTAGATTTAGTCAACAATCTCTAACAACAAAATCCAGCAGGTAGAAAAAGCCAAGAAGATTCTTTGAAGATTGAATGTTAACAAGGTGTTGCCCAGAAAAACACACAATATTATTTCTAATTGTGTTTTACTAATTAGCTGTAGATATATTTTAAAAAGTATATCAAGTCTTCATAAGTGGTTTGAAAAATATACAAGTTCAAATCTGAATTAACAGGTTCAGCATTGTACTAGGAAAATATATGTAATACGGTACATTTAAAAAGAAAAGCTAAAAAATGCTAATTAGAAAAGATTGCTTACTCTTAATATCTGAAGTTGATTAAATGCTTCATTTATGATCTCCTCATCTCAACATATTTCTGCCATTACCTGCCTAACCATAAAAGTATCCCTGATGCTTTTAATGTTATTATGAAATTCTCTCTCTTCTCTGTCATATACAGAAGAATAACAACCTCACTCTTCTGTCTAACACATCCATAACAACATCTGGTTAATTAAAAACAGATCTTTTTTTTCAAATTTGCATTTGATATGTATGACATTACAAGTGTATATCATATCTTAAAATTTTAGCATTAGGAGCTCAGTAAAAACAGATACTGTATGCTTTTTTCATATGTAAAGTGATAAATTGAGATCCCTGTCTCTGTCTCAATACATATGTAATATGCCTGATATAACCAGTGAAGAGTTTTATACAGAGTAGAGAGTGAGATACTTTAATAGTGGTATTTGACTCTGGAGACAGATAAACGTTTAGGTCTCCTACAGCTACATTTGCATTGTCTTAGATCATCAATTTAGAATTCACATTGCTGGAGAAATGGGCAGGTTAATACTTCCCAGATTTATGCCTTTCAGGTTCAATTGAATTGTGGATGTTGTTCTTTAGACACCAGAAATGTATATATATGAGATACCTAAATATTATATAAGTAAATATCACATTTAAAAGTGAGAACCTACAGTAAGATAACTGGGGAACACCATAAATATAACCTTTCTGCATAAAAAGTAATAGAAAACTAGTAAAATAAACTGTGTAATTGTGATTAGATGCTTAGGCCTGAGGGAACTGATATTTTTAAAAACAATTTATTGAGCTACAGAGAAACCTTTCTGACTCAGTGTTATCCCTTTCAGAATCCCTGTAATGTCTTTCCACAGCTGGCTATACTGAATTTCCTGCAGGTCACATAACTAGCAACTGCTTAAGTATTATTATGAACAAGGCTTAATTTAAAAAAATATTAACATAATTAATGTCAAATTAAGGACAATAACATAACAGCAATCTGTATGAAAAATCTTTTATTAAGGGACAATTAATTGCAGAATTCATTAATGAGACACAAATTGCCTAAATGTTGCAGATGTACACATGTACTTTAAAGTTCTCTAGCTTTTCTGTTTACATTTGACCAATCTTAAATTTGACTAGTATTGCTACACTTCTTACCTTTTTTTATGCTTAGTTTGTCTTTTGAAAATGAAATGGAACAATCGAACTGGGGTTACTGAAGGACTTAAAGCAAGATAAAAACAGATTCTAACTCAGTAGTTGCAAGCACCTTTTGTTATCAGCTCCTTAGGTGACTATAGGCATCACAGGAATATCTCACAGCTATCACATTGAAAACAGTACCACATTTTCAACACATCAACCAAGAGGCAGGGCAAAAGCTTTTGCATACTCACAGAAATGGATAACCTGCCATCCTGTATATCCCAGACTCCACTGAAGTCTGGTGAGCAAATCACTGGAGACATTCCCTTGCAATAGGCTTATTAGAGTCCCTTATCACAACTGACAGATAACCTGTGGGAACAATTAGAGTCCTGACTCAATGCATGCACACATACATGCCCATTTTCTTTTTCAATTCACCATAAATGTCATAATAATTAGCAGCAGCATGGAGTAGTGATTAGAATGGTAGATTGGAGATTTGTCCTATCGGGGGTGGGATGTTACTGTTTTAAGTGAGAATTTATTCTCAATTGACTTACCTGCAACAATAAAGGAATGAAGAAAACATCACTCTAACCCCCATGTCAACTTTTACACAGATGGTAGCTCTTGGTTTCACTTCCAACACACATTCTACCACTGCATGAGTCCAGATAATAAGGAATGCACAAAAAATTAAAACCATATTAAAATTGTTTTAATTTAACAATTCACTTTCAAAGGAAAAAATATTGTCATTTTCTCCCCAGTAATTCAGTATTTTGAGAGTAATCGTTTTAAAAAAATATATTTTAGATTTGTTATCTAACAAATAAAAGGATATCCAAACAGGTTGAAGGGTACTAATAGTCTTTAGGGTACAAGAAAATAGCCCCTTTACTGTAAGGAATTTTCCATTGTAATTCATACATTTTGGCAGGATAACTAGGTAGAATGTCATGTCATACCATACAGTGTTATGGGAGGCCGGAGTCTACCTGGCAAGCAACAAGCGCAAGGCAGGGTACACCCCGTACAGGGCGGCAGTCCATCGCAGGGCCAAGTGGAAGCCAATCATACAGTACATGGAGACAATTTGGCCACGGTAAAGGCAGAGGGGGGTGGAGGAATTTGGCCTGGTTACCAGGAGAACTCCCTACTCTTATCGAGAAATGCCCGGGGATCTTTAATGACCACTGAGGGTCAGGACCTCGGTTTAACATCTCATCCGAAAGACGGTGCCCACTACAATATAGTGTCCCTACCACTATACTGGGGCATTAGTACCCATACCAACCGCGGGGTGGGCGCCTGCCTCTGGTCCCACTTACACCACTTCCAGCAGCAACCATAGCTTCCCAGCAGGTCTCCCATCCAGGTACTGACCTGGCACAACCCTGCTTAACTTCGATGGGTAGCCAGTTGAGAGCTGCAGGGTGATATGGCAGGTGGCTAGGTAGAGAGTGAAATTCAAAATTGCCAAACTACAGCATCCTACATGCTTTGGCAATGATTCATTGTGCTAACTCATGAAAATACCATTGTCAAGAATACTTTGTTCTTTTTTCTGTGTGATTCTTCTATACATTCAGACAATTTCAATCAATATGGAGAAATGGATTCTAAACACTTTCTGCTTTTTACCATACAAATTGTTATGAGGAATACTTGTATTTTCAGTTACTTATTTCTATTTGCTGTGTAAGTGATTTTTAACTGACATCAGTCAATATAATAAAAAAAGATTAAAAGACATTTTAGTCCAGTAGGACTTAATGATTAATTAGACCCTGTCATGTTGTTTTCACCTTAAAATATAGCATTTCAATCAATTGTTTGGTCAATTGACCAAAGGTTATAATAATAATAATTGCTTACACTTATATAGCGCTTTTCTGGACACTCCACTCAAAGCGCTTTACAGGTAATGGGGACTCCCCTACACCACCACCAATGTGCAGCATCCACCTGGATGATGCGACGGCATGCATAGTGCGCCAGAACGCTCACCACACATCAGCTATCAGTGGGGAGGAGAGCAGAGTAATGTAGCCAATTCATAGAGGGGGATTATTAGGAGGCCATGATGGGGTAAAGGCCAGGGGGGAAATTTGGCCAGGACACCGGGGTTACACCCCTACTCTTTTCGAGAAGCGCCCTGGGATTTTTAATGACCACAGAGAGTCAGGACCTCGGTTTTACGTCTCATCCGAAGGACGGCGCCTGTTTACAGTATAGTGTCCCCGTCACTGTACTGGGGCATTAGGACCCACATGGACCGCAGGGTGAGCGCCCCCTGCTGGCCCCACTAACACCTCTTCCAGCAGCAACCTTAGTTTTTCCAGGAGGTCTCCCATCCAGGTACTGACCAGGCTCACACCTGCTTAGCTTCAGTGGGTTGCCAGTTGTGAGTTGCAGGGTGATATGGCTGCTGGCCATATCCATAATTAACTGAAGATTGTGACATACCCAGCTGCAGAAACATTTGTTTCTAAAAAACATTGCTTTCATACATGTTCAGCACTAGTTCACATGTGATCTACCTACATTTTAGATTTTTTACAATAAAATAAAATAAAATAAATTCATATTAAAAAAGGATGACTGGCCCATCCTGTTTGCCATAAAATCTTGTATTTCTCACACTGACCCTATAACAAGGTATCTGAATATAGAATGTTAATCTTTTAATGATAAAAGATTTTTTGACATGTTCATGCAAGAACAAGTCTTTATTTTTGCAAAAGCACAACTTGGACTATAGACACATCACAAAAGCCATTGTTTTGCAAACTGAACTATTAAAAAGATATCAAAGTATCTTTTTACTCCTTTAAACTTGATCACTTAATAAACACAAAGACAGGGAAAATAAGAGATTAAATATACGGAAAGTCTTGTGATTTTAGACACAACGTGTATCCATCTGGGAGACTTCAAATTGGAACAGATAACAGGATACAGAAATGCAATCTGTTAAAAATTAGTTGAAAGGGCATTTCTGCATTCATCTGATATCTCCAATTAACAAACAAGGCAAAAGTAATCGCAAAGACACTCCTCCTCTATTCAGCCTTTATTGTCAGTACTGGACAGCGGAAATCACGTATAAATCACACATATACACAGTATAACTTGTGAATGACTGTTGGTATTCCACCCAACTGAGCAAACTGTTAAATACAGATTTTTTTTTCCAAGTACAAACACAGGCTTTTGCCCTTCAACAAACAAGATGACCTATAATAAATGTACAAATTCCTGATATTATAATTGAATTACAAAAAAGGCAGCTGAATTGGCTAAAAGGGTATAAAAATTTAGTAGGTTCTATAAATACGACAAAAATACACCAAGCAATACTCTAAAAAGAAGTTTCAGTTATCACAGAATTTTATTAAAATAGTTTTGCACTAAGCACTTTGAGACACCTCTGGCACATAAAATGGAGAGGTGAAGAAATTATGAAAAATGCAGAAAAACAGGGAGAAATTGTGAACACAATTGCAAAGTGTTAGAAGTACAAGCGCATGAATGAGAGCAACAAGACAGAGGTGGCAGACAGGGAGGGGAAGTCTCTGACAGTTGGAAGGCATTAAGCGTCAGACAGGGACTTGTCAAAAACAGCTGTTGTGGCTGCTGATTGATAGTGTTTTTATTCTGCCACCACGATCACACACACAGAAGTAATTTAGCCAAATGCTGAACACCACATACCACAGAGTCTTAATACTCAAGTCTAAAGTTGACTTTTTTCAAAAGATAATGAACGTTTATAAAAAAGAAATGGATCACATATTAAAATAGCCCATTATGCATTTACAGACTTAAGTCAACATAAGACTTGACATTTTTTGGTCTTACACTTCAGTTGAATGCTCCATATGAGTGGACAGAAGAGAATTTACAGCACTAGAAAAAGACCATCAACCCTTTCCATCTGAAAGTTCCATCTTCAAAAAACCAACAGACATACCTAACAATGTTGTTTAAAACATCAATTCTGGCAACTTCCTATCTACAATATACTGTACATTGTCATTGGCTGAAAATGAGGATCCCTTAATTTCATTCTTTTTAAAAAAACAGTTATTCATTTTCTACATTTCATGCTTTGCTTTCAGTGCTGCAGCATGCAATTCAAGATATTTCTCAAGTGGTGGTATAGAAATTGATATACTATAATCCTTTTTTAAGTATTTTATGTGTAAGAGCCTTCCTTCTCGATAACATGTAACACCAAATAAGTATGATTTGCATGCTCCTTACAGTAGATCAGGGATAAGGTAATTGAAAAGACTGAAGTCTAGCAGATTAGTCTTGTTTTGTAAAGCCTTTTTTGTAAAGTCATACTGAAATTTTATTATTTTTATGCACATCACATAAGGCTTTAGACTAGAAGTTAATTACTAAAACATTCTGTGTTATCAAGATATTTTATAAATGCACTTGATAACCATGCTTGTCAGTCAATCTACAAATCAAGCATACTGTATGTGTTAAGATATAAAATAATTAGTAGCAATGTGCAAGTTACCTTTGAGCTATTTATTTTACCACACTGGTTCAGTAAAATGGCACAAACAGTAGTAACCAATTAGTATATTTATATTTTTTAATTTATTTTGCCACCCGGATTCAACTTGTGCTGAATTCTTTCATAGGAGCTCCACTTAATAAATTCTTTCAAGAGGATATGATTGCAGGTGGCAATCTGCACTTGTAATCTGTTTCTCAGATAGAGATACCATTGAAACATACCCTTCATCTGACACAATACAGTACAGAGAAACACCAAGTTTCCTAAGACAGTCTCTGGTTTTGTTGTGTTTTATTTTTCTCTTCAGGGATTTATTTATTTCATATTCTTCCAGGCTCCAAGTCCTTTTCTTCCAGTAGATTGATCAAGTGGCTGAAACTTTCTTTCACTAAATCCATATTATCTACTGAACTAGGGTCCAGAATCCATCGTTTTCCTCTTGCCAGGGGTTCCAATTCAAAATACTTCTTAATCTAGAGGAAGAGAGAGAAAAAAGCCATATTTAAAAAATGCTCCTTTTTTTGTTCTTACAGGCCACCTTCCAAACTTGTGTCAGCACTAATAAGGCTGACGAAGCCAATGTATTGTTTTATTTGGTGACAAGCTTGGCAGATTGTTTCTACTTTCAATCCACGGTGATGAATCTTGTGCTTGTGAAATGAAATGGGACTGACATTCCCACAGACCAAAGGCTTCAGACTATCTAGCAGAAATGTAGTGAAAGAGCACTTGTTGCTCCAATTAGTTTTCCATACACTGTAAATTAATGTTACATATAGCTAAGTATACAGCGCATATGTTTATCAAATTCAGTGGGGACATACAAAAAATAAAACACTAAAAACTCACACCTAATCTTGAAAAGAATATAAAACAAAAAAAGGCAAAAAAAATACATAGCATGTAATGTACATTCTTGGCAGTTGACTTTGTTATTAGCAGTTGATTATAAGAATTGTATTGGCTTTAATTTTAGTGCCTGATTTATTTTAATGTGTTGGCAGTTCATTACAATGAGGGGAAAAACAAAACCATCTGTTGCATACTATTAATCTAATGAGAAAACAGTACTTCTACAATATGTTTGCTTAATCTCACCATTTTAAATTGGAGAACTGTGAGTTATTTTTAAGCTATATGCTGTATTACTTCATTTCAGTCAGCACTCAAAATACTACTTGCATTATTGAGGAAAATAAACTATATGCCAGAAGTAGCTATTAAATACCAGTATGAGACATGGATATTCCAAGTTTATCATAGAAACAACCAATTTAATTATATGAATGGATTTAAGGCTGTATGACAAAGTGAAAATGATTCATGCTAACACGTAGCAGCAGTTGGAAGGTAGTGGGTTTAGATCCTGGGTGGGGCACTACTGTTCTACACTTCTACACTTAATGCAAGATACGTCAAGTAGACTGCGAAGTTATGGGTATACTTTCAGTAAAAGCATCTGTCAAATAAATACATAATATACCAACTTTTTACATTGTCATTTTTTTTCTGTCATGATTCCTCAAGTCAAATGTAGCACATTAAACATCTTAAAATGAAGTGCTTATATTTCTTTTGCACCTTCACTTCACGGTCTTGACTCATACATGGAGAAACAAACACCTGAAATAACACAGCTCTTGAAGTAAAATACTTTTCTCACTTATAAAGTCTCCTTCTTTATAACCTTTCTAATTTATTCATTCAAATTCAACCTTTTTTTTAAAAAAGGAGATTGAGAGGAGTCAGAAATTAACTATAGTCCAAAACTGAAATAATGCCTCAAGTATTCCAAATGACATTTATATCACATTAACCACATACCAAACTATGTATTAAGCCTTTCACCTTTGCTAATAAAAATAATAAAATAATTTATTGTATTCAACCAAACATGTTGGAAGAGACCCACTTTGCCCATCCCTGAAGTACAGCTCCCATCAATGTGACGCATAACAGCCCACCATCACAGCAATTCAGGAAGAGAAGTGAGAAGTTGCTTCACTAATTGAATCACTTGATTAGGAAGGCTAGATAGTACAAGTCCAGAATGGAAGTTATCAGGACTACCACAGTTAATATTTCTACTCTTACAAACAGTGCCATGGGATCCTTCATGTCTTTTGTGATATTTTGAGAAATTATTTAAAAAATGTTGTTTTTAGTAATGGAAAGTGTAGTGTTAGAAGTGAATTGACACTCGTAGTCGGAGAGGCCTACAATTGGGGTGATAGGGTCAATGTTCTTAATATCCTAATTCTCAGGGCCACAGTTTAAATGCTAATGCACTTCTGGCAAAGGGAATTGTGAGCAAATGAGACAAATGCTGCCTTTTTTTAAGATGAAAAAAGACCACTCTTGGAATTCATTGTTCCAAGATCACTGATATTGTTATTGTTCAATGATATCTGATCATTTTCCATGTACAGATACAGCCAAGTAAGGGACAGGATTCAGCCAAATAATGACGTGACATTTAAACATGGCTTTGTTAAATAAGGCCCAATCTGGGGCGACTTCATTCCCCTTTCATTCATAAATCCAAACTTGGCAGCTCAAAGTAATAAGAACAGGACCCAAGTTAGCTTGAATTGTGCCTTAATTAACCAAACCACATTATAGTACATCTTTATAGTACTGATCTGTTTTACTAACTCTGCCCTTTTGGCTGATGTTGCATCTTCATTTGGCTGATCCTTGTTTCTGACTTGGCTTTTTGTGTACACTGGAAATGTTTTTGTCATTCTCTATATCACATGAAACTTGTTTGCTCTGTTATGCATGAAATCAGATTATTTGTGTTTATAAAATGCATCAGTTAATTTTAAGCTGCAGTGGAATAACATCAAATATAAGCACAATATATTTTAGGGTTTTGCAAGCCTTACCACACGCCAGAGTTTTTTTAAGGTCCCAAAGATATTAAATGTCAGAATTTTCTGAATAAATGGATTTTTAAAAACAGAAAATTATTTTGTAAACTGAAATGAAAATGTTCTTGCCCCTCTAATTATAGTAGTTGTTGCCAATTTGTGCATTCCTTTGTTTCAGCAAGAGTGTACTGGGAAAATGTTAATTTCCCCAGTTGTATAACCAGAGCCACAAAACACATAGAAAAAGAAAAAGGTCTACACTGGGGAACTTCCAATGTTTTAAACTGGCTACAATATGCGATTAGGAAATAAGCAGAAATTCATTCAACTTGTGTTGTCCAAAACGTTATTTATATATTTCTGCAATGACAGTTCCAAAAAATGTAACTTTGCAGCTAATGAAAAAACAAACCACGAATCAAGCATTTTGTGTTGTAATCCAGATTATAACCTTAATAGTCTATGGTGCGTGATTTAATTCTCACAAGGATGAGCGAACAGGAAAATTCATAGAGTTTTAAGGTGTAGAAACAACCACACTAACATCCTAAATAACAGGTCATACAAATACACTGTCTGGTTGTGAGCCCAGATACACATTGTTTTAAAATATGTAAATAAAATTAATGTTAAAAAGACTTCTTGATCTTTGGAGAATCAAATAAGTGGTGATAATGACATTTAGAAAAAAGCCTTGCTGATTGTGACTTAATTGAAATAACAACAGTACAAAGGACAAAAGAGCTTCTAGATGACCTTGACCTTAAACCTTAGGACAGCACTAGCACTGTCCACATTTTTGGAAGCAAGAAACTCCATGACTAAGCCTACCACCATATTTCATCAAAGCTTCTCAAAGACTTTGTGATTTATGGGGAGTTTCACCCTTGACTCTAGACACTGACAAAGAACTCTCACCTTTGACCTTCAATAGGCAGGACAAAAATTGCAATCAGCATAACTGGGACATGAACACCACTTCTAGTGAGTCCTAGTCTGGCACGTCTCACCAATTCATTGCCATGTGCTTGGATTTGAGTACCTTACTCCCAGCCTTAAAATGTACATTCCTCTAGAGTTCATTCAGTTAAATTTTGTAAGGATATCTGAGTTTCTTCCAAAATCATGAAACACATTTGTATTATTTAATCAAGCAAACACCTTATAAGGCTAACCATCATCAAGAAAGACAATGCCTTTATACAGTATGTCACTTGCAAATTGTTGTGATGAAACACAGAAAAACATGGTGTCGTTGTGTAAAATGATTAAACTAGGCAGAGCCTTTCAAGTGTAAAAGTTTATGGATGAAATGCAAAATAGAATTACTTTAAAATACATCGTGTTTAGCAAGAATAATCTAGCAAAAGAGGACCCACAATTTGACCAGATTTGACAACTAATTTTGAGTTAATTAAAATCACCTTCTCAAATTATCTGCCCTTTTTGATTGATTTAATTCCTGTTGTGCGTGAAATACCTTTTTTTTTAAAGTGAAGCAGCTTCCACTGTGTAGATTCCACTGTGTTGATTCTGTATGGTACTAGAGTTTCCAAAATATTGGAATTATTAAAAAAATAGTAGCATTATACTACTGTAGCTGTAGCATTTTCATTATTTTTTATCACAGCTATTAAAACTTATATATATTCTAGACAGGTGCATGTCAGAGAAAATGTGGTTATCCACCTTTACTGAGCCATATATATTCATAAAAAATAAAGTTGTTATTTGATTAGGAAGCAGAAACAGTAAAAACTTCACATTTTAACAGATAATGTGTACTAATATCCACGGAAACCATCCACTTTTGACCTTTAAATAGAGTATTTATAACAGAACATAACACATGGCACTGAATGTGAAATAAAGGGATTTTAACAAAGCCAGTGCTCTCCAAAGAAGCATAGTTGTCTACCTTTAAATTGTGATGAATGATTTATAGTTATGTGATTCTGAATGACCACAACAGTGAATCAGAGGATACAACTTCTTTTTTCTGGAGGAGTCTTCAGTTCTAAACTGTGTCTTGATTATAGTGTTACAGGGGTTTAATGACAGATTAAATCACATCAGTGGTGTTAGCCTGAGGGTCTGTGGAAAGCTGAGCAGACCCAAACAGTGTTAACAAATCTGTCTGGGTAATATGAGCCTACCAGACCTTCCATTCACTGTCTGTCACAGGCCCTCTTCTGGAGGTCTGAGGGCCTGCACTGGCAATCTGTCAGAACATGGGAACAGCTCTGCTGAATAGTGAACTACACCTTGCCCATTTCAGGAATCATACTTTTACCATTAGACTACTTTATCACATCCACCAGAAACATCAACAGGTACACTCATTTCAATTAACTTAAAGACAATGTGAAAATGCAGTCAATTTCAGTGGTGGTCATTTCTTCATTCACATAATAAAAGAGGAAAATGTTTTCTGTTCTGAAAAGCAAAAGATGTAGATTCACAGACTCCTGTATTTTAAAGCATAAATTATTGCCACTTAATCATTTCTACTGATCTTCCATTCTCATTACATCACCGTGTCTGATCTTTTTATCCTATCAGTAAGTTGTGAAGATGTACATATGGTCAGTGACTACCTT